GAAGCTCGAACACGAGCCTCCACCCAGGCAAATATCAATAAGCCCACTTTAGCGCCGGTACCAGGAACTCCTACTCGACCAAGAACGCCAGGAACACCAAGTCGCAGGGGCGCAGAAAGCCCGTCACTTATGCCATCAACAAGTGAAATGGATGTTAGTAACGTTGACCCAGAAGACGTACTGGTTGACTTTGAGAACTTGGAGCCGGGCGATATCTCGGCTGAGATTGACGAGGCTTGGCTTAGAGCTGCGTCACTTGAACATGGCAAAGAAGACAAAGTTATGGTTTCTATCAGGTATGAACTTACCAACTGAGATCTTCAATAATTGACATTTGAACCGCACAGAGTACGACCCGCAGATGGAACTATGGCATGGACCCCATCGCCCGCTACCAACTCACTAAAGCTTGACCCCAACTACGCCAAGTCCGCGACTACGCCCGCCCAATCCTTCAATTTTGATTCCATCCTTACTGGAACGCCCAATAAACCCATTTACAGCACCGTCGCACGATCACACGTGCACGCCGCCATGGAGGGGTTCAATGCCGTCATCTTCGCCTACGGCCAGACCGCGTCTGGCAAGACCTTCACCCTCACCGGTAACGATTCCGAACCCGGAATCATTCCTCGCGCCATGAGTGACGTCTTTGCATTCATCCGCCGGACACCCGAGCGGGAATACCTCCTCCGGTGCTCATATCTCGAAATCTACAACGAGGCAATCCACGACCTCCTCGCGCCGCCATCAAGCGCGGCAAAAAACCCTGTTCAAATACAGGGCGGGGTTGGCAATGAGATTATACTCGCGCCACTACGCGAGGAGGTGGTGACGAGCCTGAAGAGCGTAAAGGAAGTGCTCCGAAGAGGCGAGGGCAACCGCCGAACGGCATGCACTGACTGGAACGACCGAAGTAGTCGCAGTCACAGCGTATTCCGCATGGTTATCGAAAGTCGGGAGAGGGGCAACGGTACCCCAGACGATGACGATGACGACGAGAAGGCTATGTCTAATAATGAGCGGCAGACGCCTGGTCTGGGGAGAAATGCCCCTGGCCCACGATCACAAACTCCAGGATTGGGAAGGTCACAAACTCCTGGTCCGGGTGGAGCCCGCCTGCAATCGCGTGGGGGAAGGAGTGTTCAGACGAGTGTTTTGGTATGCTTGTCCTTCGCGTCGTCTCGGAATTGCACCGTGTTGATAATGCCCCTCAGAGTCTTATTGATCTGGCAGGTTCAGAAAAAGCTACTTCCGACAAGGACCGAACAAGAGAAGGTAAATACATTAACACCAGGTTCGTCCCCTCCCTTGAGTTCGTCAAACGCACCTAATTTATACTCTCCTCAGCTTGCTCACTCTTGGATCCGTTATCGGCACCCTCGCCGACAATGCCTCCAAGGGCAAGACGTACGTCACCTTCTCCTTTCCCTGTTCCATTGACTAACCAGGGCACTCTCAGTGATCACATCCCCTACCGCAACTCCAAGCTTACACGAATGCTACAGCCCTCCCTCTCCGGAAACGCACGCATTAGCGTCATCTGCACGATCAACCCCGAGCCCAGCGCCGTGTCTGAGACAATGAGCACCCTCCAGTTCGCGAAACGCATCAAGAACGTCCAGGTTTGTGTTCCCTACACATTTCTGATACGCTCGATTACTGAAAATTTCACAGCTGAGCGCGAAGAAGAAGGAAGTTGTGGACACCGACGCGCTCATCGAACGATACAGGAAGGAGATTGAGGACCTCAAAAACAGACTCGCAGAACGAGAGGCGGAGGTGCCTGTTAGGACCCGCAGACTTTCTGCGCGTGAGGTCGGTTTAATCTTTCTCGATGTTCTTTGGTGCAATTTCTGACAATATTTGGTGTTCACAGCAAGTCGATGAGTCTAAAGCAATGAACGACTTGAACTCGCGAATCCATCAGCTGACAAGGTTGATCCTCACGAGTCAGACAGTAGGTGAATCGAAGGGAGACGACAGTCGTCCCGTGAGCCCCATCAAGCTCGACTTTGATATGTCCCCGTACCAGGTGAGTCCCTTCTCTAATCGGATTCGCACTCTCCTAAATGAATGCATTGCACTCTACAGCTCCAACAAGAACTCCTCACCGCGCGTCTGCAACTCGACAGCCAAGCCACACAGATCCTTTCACTCGAGGCATCCCTGGATGCACGACCGGCGCTACCCGTTGGCGCGTCGGACGGCGACAAGGACCAGTTGCTCCAAGAGCAGCTCAAGACCATCCGAGAACTAGAGATTGTTGTCAGGGGTTATGAAGAGAATCTTGGGGAGCCCTTGCGTGCTGTCCGGGAGGACGTGGAGAAAGAATGGAAGGATAAGCTCGCGGCAGAGGTGAAAAAGCGCGAGGAGAAAGAGCGCTGGGCGGAGGAGCTGGTGAGGCAGCTTGACAAGGAGAAGAAGGTATGTGAAACCACTCGCCCAAATGTCAGGTTGAACACAGGCTGATGTTCGTGTGTATAGGTACGGATGACGCTAGAAGAAGAACGCCGGGCGCTCGCTGCCTTCGTGAGCAAGTTCGACTCGGTCGGACAGGCACTTACCCTGCCCTCCTTCGCCGCGTCCAAGGTGCAACCACCGAGGCCCACCCCAGGGGGGGCCACAGCCGCTTTCCGAGCCAACCAGGTGAACAAGCTCGCGAGCTCAACAACCGACAGCGCGGACATGCTGGCTTCCCTTGCGGAGTCGCCCATCCGCATGGACATCACGGGCGGCGAGCCCAAATTCAAGCCGCAGACACAGCTCATGCTGGAGCAGATGCCTGAAGAAGAATGGAGTGATGTGAGCTTTGATCAACATGAGCCGGTTGAGCTCCCGCCTGTAGAGGAGAAGACGAAGATGTTCGGCTTTGGCATTGTGGGAGAGGCTTTGGCAAGGAAGGGGGCCAAGAGCCTTGTGCGGGAGGTGCTGAGTGACAAGGAAAATCTAGTGCCTGCAAGGACTTGATGACTTCTTTGTGGATCTTTAGACCTCACGCTGGGCGGCGAGGCTGTAATGAGCGGTTTCTATATTTCTTTTCTTTCTTCCACTGATCGCTATCTTGTTCAAGTAAATTCTATCTCGTCACACTCTACATCTTCCCTCATGTACTTCATACTCCCACGACTGCTTTCGTCATGCAGCTTGGAAGTCTTGTAAACAGTAAATAGTAAAACATGGATACTCGGTCACCTATACAGCGAGCATACCCTTCATCTCTTCCTAGGAGTGTTTCAATCGTTAATCGTAACGCATAATGACTTGTGACAGCATAGTGGATGACATCTTGATTTTTGTGAAAGCACACAATGGTTCCATCTTTTGAGACTGGATGCTGAGGGCGGCCTCACGAGAATGAGCTCGATCACCTTGATGAGATGTCACGAGAAAGTCGAAACGTCCGTTCTAATATTGGTGCATGGTATACATCGATTATGTGTAGAATTTCCTGTTCTCGTTTGCACCAAAGAGATCCTTTCTGATCTCGGGAAGCATCTGGATACGACGATATGAGGTTGGATGTTGTACAAGAAAATGTAGGGGCTTACTCTGTCTTCGAGCAACCGCAGGCGTTCATCCAATGTGTTATCAAGAGTAATCCGGCGCGAGCCGCTCACCAGCTTGATACCACCAGCACTACATCGAAACGTTTCACTAAAAGCCAAACTGGAAGAAGGCCTGGACACTCACGCGTCATCAGCCAGAGTGCCCTCGACATCGTGCTCTATTTCCCTCCCGCTGATCTCGAGAAATGCCGTTTGCGCACTCGCCGCTGCCTGCTTGACGATCTCCACGTCTTGTGGCCGCGCGTGTACTGTGACGCTAGGCTCCAAAATCTGGAGGAAGCCCTGGACGATGACACCCTCGAGGAACTGAACGTAGCGGCCCTCGTCCTTTGCAAGCTGGACCACTGCAGCACGCGATGTTGAGAATAGCTCTTGCAGATGCTCTTCGCGGCGGTGGAGGAGCTTGAGACGTGACTTGTTGGTAAGTGTGGATTGTGCGCTGCGGGTCCGTTCAGTGGTACCGAAGCAACAAATAGTGGTCAGGCGTACATCTTCTGTGCAACTTCGGCACCCTTCCTCTTCTTCTCGTACTGCGAGTCGATCGCTTGTTGCTCCTGCTTCACCAATTTGGCCTGCACAGACGATATCATTCAATACATCACACTTATTACATCACATCGCCAACCACATACCTTCTCAATCGCGAACTCCTCGTCCGCTTTGACCTGGATTTCACGAGCCTTCTCAAGTGCCTCTTGCTTGATGAATAGAACCTATATCATGACATCCCAAAGTACATAGACAGATACCATACAAGAGTGGTCATCAGAGGGGGATGATTAATCGTCCAGGCGCGGCGCACCATCTTATTCATCTGTTGGAGAACCTCCTCATCATTCAACGCACGGGACGACATGTTGGATGGTGCAGATTAAGAAACAACCAGGGACTCGGAGAGCAGCCTGGAACCAGTGGAATGAACTTGAAAGCAAACTCAACAGGCGATGATCGCTGACCTAATGAAACCTAAATCCAAACACTCGTACACTGCGGCTTTCTCCCAACCACGACGTCCTCGTTGTCGATAACAAGCTGCGAGGGGTGGATGTTATACCTCCCACTCCAATGCCCCTTGCTATACATGGACGATTTCTGCTCAAAATTACTTCTTTCCAAACCAAACTTGAGCCAGTACAGCTTGTGGCGTTCCTCAGTGGCTTATTATGTCTCACTCTTGGGTGAGAACGAAACCATTCTTGCTGCATGTGCTTCAATCTTGGATTAGCTTATACCAAATGGAAGGAACGTCATTTGGGTACTCATGCCCCCTTTCCTATCAGAGGAAAAGGGAAAGCTTTTTCTTTATGATAAAATGATGCACTTCTACTATCTGCATACTCCAGGCATGACTTGTCGACATCACCAAGCAAGGATGTACCTTCCACCGCGGCTGCCATCCATGCTTATGGCCATGAATACTCAACAAAAAGTTGGAGCCTGTGAGGATTGAACTCACGACCTCATGCAAATTGCATCAACATGCGAAGCATGCGCGCTACCACTGTGCCAAGACCCCATGGTAGTTGGTCTCTGCAGGTGTCAAAAACTCGCGTTCGAGACTGGTAAGGTCGAGAATTAACTGACCAATGAGGGATCCACGCGATAGATGGTATAGCGTCAAAGAGCCGGGCTATTCGGGAGGGCTGATGAGGCCTGTCCCAAGCCCGGTATCATATTTTCGCCAAGGTATGGCTGCCTAGGCTAAAATACATGCACGTATACTAGGGTGAGGATGGTGGGTCGCGAAAACTGATCTAAGTCGCTGGATAAACTTCATCAAGACTTCAGTCTGAGCCTCTTCCCTCCAGAGATCATTTGCATACCTGGATAGAGACTGTTGTCGTGGTACTTCCCTATGGGATCGTACGCCACTCAAGTCTCTGTCCAGGATCTCTGCACGTGATTCACGACTTAGATTTCCTCATTGATCTCGTGAAAACAAGTGTTTTAACTTGACCAATGAGGGATCCACGCGATAGATGGTATAGCGTCAAAGAGCCGGGCTATTCGGGAGGGCTGATGAGGCCTGTCCCAAGCCCGGTATCATATTTTCGCCAAGGTATGGCTAAATGCCTATAAAAGAAAGATTGAGGAACGATATTGAGGAGTGGTGGAAATTGTATGGTAAGGAATGGTCCGTGAGCCGTCTGGTTCTGGAGGAGTATTAATGTATAAGTCCTTTGGAGTTGCGTATTCATATGATAAGTGGAATAGTTCTGGGTACTGGGCAGGTGTAAGTGTCCGACGAAAAAAGGAATAGTTCTGGGTAGATGGAAAGTGTAAATGTCCGATGGAGAAACAGATAATAATAATAAAAAGGATGTAACTTGTAGCGAGAGGAAAAATCTAGATGTCTGCGTCTTCGCCCTCGGCGTGTGCCAACGTGAGGGCATGTATGAGGACAGGGTTCTTGCGTACGTAACGTTGAAAAGTGTCTGTAGCCCATCTACCTATGGCCTGGATCAGATGAGGCGGGACGCCGGATTCTGCCAGGAAGGTAGCGCCACCTGCGCGCATCGATTGGCCCGCGATATTCGAGTCGAAGAAATTTCTGAGTCTTGACATAAAGAACGACCTTGTCGGCACAGAGCCATCCTCTCGTAACCAGAGCTCTCTTCTGATGGGGAAGAGTTTGTCGCGACTCGTTAAGTATGATGTGAATTGGCGATGTGGATCCGTGTAGTGGTCGTTCCTCTTGATGATGATGTGATTCCCTTCGAAGAACGGATCCGCTTTGTGTGTTGGCAGGAAAAACTCATAGTGATCTTCGGAGATTGAGGCAGAGAGGATTTTTGCAATCTTCCGATTGTCTCGAATAGATTTCTCGTCTGGTTGGCACAGCTCTCCGAGGCGTAGAAGTGAGTAGAAACCCGTCAGAATTTGCGCTACGAACAGCCTGTCGTCATGGCTATTCGATTCGGAGTAGAAATCGACAACCCGACTAAGATCGTCGCGAGTGAGGGGGAGTTTTCTCTTGACCTTTGTCGATCTAAGTTTCAAGCAGCCCACCAGAGTCCTGCGGACGATTGGCGAGTTGCGGTTTTTTCGGACTTCGGGAAAGTACGTTTCGAGGTGGTTGCAGATGCCTGAAAGGTAAGTTTGCACGGATCGTGGTTCGATGTGGTGTGACATGTAGACCACAAATAAGGAGAGGGTATCTGGGGTTGGGTTAACTGGGAATTTGTGGATTTTGACGAAGTTGAGGTAGGAATTCAAAGCTGAGCCGTAGTTGTTGAAGGTTGCGTCGGCGATACACGATCCGAGAGCTATAGCACGTTCGTGAAGTAGCCGCTCTCTAGACCAGGCAATTCTACGTGGTTGCCTGGCCTTTCTGGTCGCAAAGATCATTTTTTCATTGCCCCCAGCAGCTCACGTGGGGGTTGAAAGAAGTCTACGTTGAGGTCCCATGCTATTTCGGCAGCTTCGAGGAGCCTGTTGCGGGACAAGAGATCGGCGACAGTGTTCGATTCTCCCGGGATGTGTAGGACCTTTAGCTTGTGCGCGCCAAGGATTAAGCGGTCAACAGTAATCTTGAGTAGAGGGTTGTACACGGGCTTAGCATGGAAGGAATTGAAGATATCGACGGTGTTCGTGTTGTCTGTGAATATGACTATTTTCCGAGGTGATGTGGCGTCCTCCGTGGCATGGAGAAAAGCACAAGTCACGGCCAACGCCTCCAAAAAGAAGATGAATTCAGAGGGCGTGTTAGTTGGAGTGGGGCAGACATAACCCTCTTGTGATTTGGGATACCAGAACGCCATACCGGAGGGACAGGCGTCGGTTTCCAGTACAGCGTCAGCATCCGAAACAGCCCAGGACTTGGCATCGAGGATGTGAACACCTGAGGAGCGCTCGATGTGGTCTGCTCCCCAGTTAAGGTCAGCGCGAATGTCGAGGTTTGACCAGATTTTCGCGTCTGGGAGATCCGGGATGGAGCTCAACTTGCTGTAAACGTTCAACAGAGCTGGAGCGATGTGGGGGAACACATTCATTCCCCAGTTTACCCAGCCAGCAAACCGTTGCCACGATCGTTTTGTGTACCACCTGGATTTCCCGTCAGGGGAGGCGGTGAAACGTCGCATCTCGGCAACAAGGTCTGCTTTGGCTTGTGAGGCTAGTGTCATAGTCATCGCGTTCGGGTCGACGAGAATGCCGATGATGAGAAGAGGAGATCCGTGGATCTGTTTCTTCTCCTTGTGCGGTATCCCAATATCGTCCCAAAGGGTTAGGAGATTCCACTGGTCTCGGGGGACGAGCTTATCGTAGGGCTCGTAAAGTGCCAAGTCCCCTGCATCGGTGATTCCGAAAGAATCGTCGTTAAAGCACAGAGGGTCTGCGACGTCGTACTTGTGTTGGGCAGTCCACATGACGAGGCTATTGGTAGCGCCCCAGACATTCATGGAGGCGCGACCGCCGAAACAGTTGTTGTGGTTGATGTGGCGCTGGCCGTCGATAGTTACAACCTGCTTGAGCTGCCATAGCGGGTGCATCGGAATTAACCTATACGCCTCAGCGACGTCGGACTTCCACAATACGAGGGGTCTATTCGACGTTTCTCGTATGCGGATCAGACGCTCGCCAAGGTGTTTCATGTTGTCCAGCGGGAAACCTGCAATGTCGTCGCGAGCGATCATTGAGTTGAGCGAGAATTCACCCGCTGATTGGTTAGTGACCATCCGGAAATCGGAGGATCCAGGTTTCGGGACGGCATGGACAGGAGAACAATACATCGAGTCGAGGAGTTTCGTTCTGAATGAGGTGGAGAAACGTCCCTTCGCTATTTCGATGTCTCGCTGGTTACGCAGGAATTGTGCTTCGCTGGTGTCGTCTGGTTGTCCGAGGGCCATGTCGTAGGTCGCTGGGTATACACCTGGTTTAGTGTCAGCGAAAGGCCAAAAACCTTCGCGTAGACCTTTGCACACAGAGTCCACAAAAGGGCGATTCGGATGGTTGGAAAGGAGACTTTCGAGAATGTCGACTTCGATTGGAGTGTTGATGATGAAAAGGTCAGGCCGTGACTCTAAGGTGGATAAAGAATGTGGGTTCGTGGACTCAGATAGTGGAGGGGAAGGAAGCGGCTCAGCAGAGAGAGACCACTGGATGAGAGTTGGTCGGCCTTTAGTCCCGCTGTCCCAGTAATTATATCTGAGATACTTAGGTACAGATCCCTTAATTGCTTCCGTCCTGGACGCTCTCAGTGCATTCCTTCTTGGGGTGGTTTCCTTTGCATCCTTTGCAGATGTGTTTGAAGTGACATTTGTCGATAGAGAAAGGGCATCCACGCGCAGTGTTGAAGCGCTTGCAGATGGCGTTTGATTTACGCGGGGCCGAGTTGGCACCGCCACCTGATTGAGTGACGGTTGAGTTTGATCCCGATACAGAGGCAAATTTGCCTCCGTAATTGACTCCGTCGACTTCGAGGATCGAATCCCTGAGGTCCTGGAATTCGTGTCGATCTGTGAGGAGCATCCGAGTTCCGGCACCAACTCTCGCTCTGACCGCTTTCTCAAATTCGATGATTCGACCGTGGGCAGAGGGCATTCTTGACGTGAGGAGGCTGACGACAAAGTCGAAGTGAGTGCTCCATTCTGTCTCTCGAGGGGGGAAAGCAAATCTGAGGGCTCTGCCGTAGAGGTTTCCAGCCATGATCCATTCCGCCGCAGTCGTGACCTTTCGGATTGGATCTCCTGCATCAAGCACGATTTCACGTCGACCGATACGGCCTCGACTCTCTTGAGGAGCTCCCACATGGTTGAGAGAGCTGAGGACGGTGTCGAAACACGCTGGTTCACCTCTGAGGAGCTTATCCCACTCGGAACTGGGAAAGTTGGAAGGGGCTGAGTGCGCGAGGGAGATTTCTCTCTTGTGTCCTGAGACGTTGCTGAGGTACTTGCGAAGGATGGTATGATTTTCGGTGCAGCGGGGATCGCAAGACTTTCGAGCAGCCTTTTCCTTTGAGTACCAAGGCAAGTCTTTCGTGCTGATTCTCTTAGTCTTTCGCTTCGGTTCATCTTTGTCAGAATCCGATTCTGAGGAACTGGATTCATCCTCGTCAGTGAGCTCGTTTCGTCGCCGTTTCTTGCTTCCTTCGCTGACGGATTTGATGAAGCCGCCAGTGAGCTTGTGGATGGTTGCAGGTGAGGGGGAGCGTTCACCATCTTCTGGACTAGAGTGGCGGTCATCTTGTTCCGGAGAGGTACGTTCTTCGGAGCTCTGAGCTCTGTTAGAGAGGTGCGCCGTCTCTTTTGCATCTCGCCAACTGGCTCGTTTGCCTCGCTCCTCTCGTTTCTTTTCAATGTCGTCAAGATTTCCGAGCCAGCTGGTGATGGAGTCTTGTCGTGCCTCTTTTGGAAGCGCTGATTCGTTGGCTGTGAGAACAATCTCTGTGGCTGACACTCCTTTTGACTTCTTTCCAGATCTGAACTCTTCGAGAATCGCGTCGAGCCGTCGGACAATCTCGCGCTCAGCGTTAATCGGTGCAATAGGGGAAGTTGTGGAGGTGTCTCCAGTCGCTCT